TCTCTACATATTAAAAGTGTGAGATTAAAGGACTTCATATGATTTAAAACAGTTTTTGAAAGATTTTGAGTCATTTACATTTGTGATAGATAGTAATGGCCACACAAGTCTCCGAAGTCTACAGTGTCATGCCACACAAATCAAAGCTTTAGCGCTGTTGAACATACTGCCTTAAAAACATTAATTGTTAAATAATATTTAGAGAGATAGAGAGAAAAATAAAAACAAATAGAGAAAATCTTAGTGCAAATCAAGATCAATTTTTTCTCTTGAAAATGTAAACCATAGATCAAGTCTTGAGATGCCAGTGTGTGTGTGGAGAGTGGAGGAAGGGATGGGTATAGGGCTTTTTCCCCCCACAGGTGGCAAAGTAGTTACTGCAGGGAATCACTTAAAATAACTCTCCAGTCTGTTCATAAAAAGTATAATTTTATGGCCATAATTAGTATCCAGTGTTTGTCTTCCACTAAAAACTAAATGATCCACAAACAGAAAATTGAGCTCTTCTCTCTATAGTTATTCTCTCTATAGTTATTCTTCTCTCTATAGTTATTCCATCTTAGATACAAAATACTCAAACCCTTTTGCTCTTATTCAGCAAATAATGCATTGCCATTACCCAGAAAGCCTGTGCATATTTTCACTGAACCATTGCCCTGATCTCAACTCCTTTTGAAGGTCTCCTATTCAAATAGTCCTGTGAGTAGACAAATAAAGTACTCATAATTTTTCAGATATTACTGCTTTCTTCAATCAAGATGTTCAATAAATTTAAAAACAAACAAAATAGATAAAGAAAGGCAATATCTGAAAATTGGAATGAGACTGTTGCAGAAGTTAAAAACACTGCACTGAATAGTTATGGAAGAGTAAAATTAAACAATTGGAAGCTTATTATTAATTAAAATGAATTAACTTGGTGAGATGTTCTCCTGCCTTTCTTTTCCCAGAAGACAGGAAGCTTTAAAAATATTATTGAAAAGTAACCAATATCCATTATGCTTCCTAGAAGTATTGATATTCAGGCTCCCAGACATACCTATCTAGAAATGAAAGACTCAGCTGCTGTCTATGCAAATATAGGAGCATAAGCTTTGAAGCAAATAGTGCAATAAAGCAGGAAATAACCCCGACCAGATAAAACACTTCTTAGGCTATTTTTAATGAGTTTTTAAAATACACAAAAGCTAACAAACTTTTTTTTCTGCACTTCTTTATGGTTTTTGAATACATAAGACAACATAAAAATTGTAAAACTAAACTAATTCTATTTTATCTTTGGTTAGAGAAAGGAAAAGATTTATTTACAGGAGGATGTTAGAGAAGGTTTGCACACATAACAAAGGGAAACAGATAATGGAAGTACACTCAAATACAACATTACACAAATTATCACAGGAAACATCAAGTGAAAAATGTAGTTTCATATGAGACGCCCTAATTATTTTCTCCCTTCATCCTCTTCCCTGACAATGTCACAAAATGGGCTGTTATTATTGTTTATCTCTGTCTGTGTTTTAGAGAACTTTAAAGGCTAAAGCAGTTACACCTCTAGCTAGATGCTTTTCTCATGAATAATTTAATTCATATCCATGCTCTTACTTATATCACCCCAAGTCAGAAGAACACTTTCATATGTATTTTTTTCATGCTTAAGCGCAGGTTGACACACATCACAGAATCACAGATTAGGCTGAGTTGGAAGGGACCTGCCAGGATCATCAGGTCCAGTTCCTGGCCATCCACAGAACCATCCCCAGGAGTTACACCATATGCTCAAGAATATAGTCAGAGTTGGGTAACACAGCTAAAAACCAAGACCTTGTCAAGTCCAAATGAGTATTATGCAAACCATGCTCATAAAAGGGATATTGCTCCATCTTCTCAGAAATATGAATAAAATCAAAGTAGATAGACTATTTCTTCAATCCATGACTATTTTGTGATACCTCAATCCATGACTACAAAGCTGTAATACAGCTGAAGATCCTATATCAGATAGATCTCCCCACTGCATTTCTGAGGCAGCGGCATCATAAGAAGAATTTCTCTCAACATTTCTCTGGTATTTCTCAGAGAACACAGATCATCCATCAAAGATGTGCTTGTCAGAGCCACAATGCAACAAATGCCTGGAAACTTATGCTTAAATTTAAGTATGTTGTCAATCTTACTACTTTCAATACAGTTATACATGTTCTGAGACACATTAATTCAACATTTTAACAGACAAGGGACCCTTGAGAGATGATCATAAACACACTATTTCCTTTAAATTCACTGCAGGGATTTAAAAGCAGTATTACAAGATCTTGAAAATACTCCATAAACCTTTCCTTAGAGCTGGAGATTTAAATCAGATAATAACTCTAGAAAAAGAAAATTATTCTGGGGAAAATTGAGCTGTTATTCAAACTCTGGGGGAGGAATATCAGTATCCTACAGTATAGTGGTTACCAGTAACATGATTAATCAAAGTCTCTTCTACTGCTCCATGCACATTTCTTTGAATGCATCTAGTTACAGCCACAGTATGACTACCTGGACTACAGATATAGACCTAAAAACCTAAATAGAAAATATGAAGTAAAATTTACAGAAGATCTTCTTTGCTTTATTTTTCTTACTCAGCCATTCTATTGATCATAGATGTGTCTTTGCTTTTGACTTACTGATATAAAGACTCCATATTTCTAGCAAAATATATAACCAGGAAAGTAACACTGAGCAGTTCACCATCTTTCATGTTTCAAATGCATACTATATCAGATAAATCAGTTAGATAAAGATTATAAAGATTATACTCCCTGGTGCTTATATTCAAATAAACACATTTATAACACAAACCAGTTATTTACACCATTATCAGAATATTGTAACCTTGAGTCTATACTTTTTATTAAGTCACCCAGGTACATTAAGTGGGCTTATTTGATTTAGTACTCTTAATGCAAAATTAATTTATGACTAGATTAGAGTGATTTGAGTCACAGCCTCACGCTTTTCACACAAGACACAGGAAGATGGTTGATGATCTGCATTGCAGAATGCAAGTTCCTTACTGCAGTGCTTGAGAATCTTTGAAAGTGAACTGTTTGCATTAATGTGAAAGAGTCCACCAAGATCTAATAGTGAACACAAAATGTACATTTGGACCCTAAATCTAATGAAAAACAATGGCTAAAGGAGGAAACAAATATTTATTCATCATAATATCTGATTCTTCCATCAGTCATATCACCTACAAGTCATACTGTCTACAATAAAGTTGACAGAGTAAAGGAATAAACTTTTCAAAATTATTTGAAGAAAATCTTCTGAGTTATTTATAAGTGTTTATGGTGCTTCAATTTTCTTTAGTTCTAGAGAAGATTGTAACATTGCTTTTAATGGTTGAGCTAAGCTGTATTTTTTCACAAAACAATAAGGAAAATTAAAATAGGAAGAAGCTTCAAACATCAAAATTATTTTCTTGGGTTTTTTTTGTTCTCTTTCAGTCTTAGGTTACAAATGGAAGATGTGGCCAGTGGTGTGTATTCTATTGCCAACTGTCAGAACCAAGTGGGGCAGATTTTTTTAATCTCTTCCACAACCAACCCTCCCTCCAGGGAGATTTCATCTGTTAATGGGGCCATTGAGTGTCACTGCATGACTGATGAAATTACATCATCCCATTATGAGAAGTTCCACCCAGAGGGAGGAGCCAAGCATTCCTACCTGGATATAATCTGAGATTTGGAACACCACAGTCAGCCTTTTCCACTGGATTCCCAGAGGAAGACCAGGCCCATCTACACCACCAATGGACCTTCAGAGGAAAACTAGAGCCTTCATTAGGATCACTGCTTCAACAAAACCATGCCTATCACTCCAGGAGGACTGCAGCCACCATTTAAAGGGACTGCTGCCAACACCCTGACCAACAGGGTGTCAGGTCATACTCTAATGCTGTCAGTGTCGTTTTGTATTACTGCATTTTAGTTTTTATTTTTCCTAATAAAGAACTGTTATTCCCACTCTCATGTCTTTACCTGAGAGCCCTTTAGTAACAAAATTATAATTCAGAGGGAGGGGGTTTACATTTCCCATTTCAAGAGAGGCTCCTGCCTTCATTATCAGACACCTGTCTTTTCAAACCAAGACATTTTCTCAGAATCCATCTGAACCCTTTTCATGTTCAAGAAAGACATCTCCAACTTGACTTATTTCTTAAAAATGATAGCTTCCCCACCTGCAAGTAGCAACAGATCTGAGCTCTGGTTTGTCAGTGTGACAGCACTGAGTGATATTATAACAGTAAAATCTTGGGGAAAAATCTGTTTTACTCTATTCAGGAATTCTTTTCAATCCTCAGAAATAAATTGAAAAAATGTACCACCAAAAAAACCCCAAACATTTCTTTGGTACAAAGCCATTATTAGAAATGACCTTGTCTCCTTTTGATTGTTAAGAGATATAAGAGTTAAATGTATCATAGAAATAAAAAGTTTAGAGTATGGATCAGATGACAGACTCAAACCTCACAAATTCTATCCCACTTATCAATGTAGCATATTGATATTGTATTTGTGTGTTATTGCAGTATGAATTTAAATCTTACATTGATATTTAAAAATATCTATTCAGCTTGTGGTCCATGACTCCTCTAAGTGTGAAATAAAAAAATTACCCCACAGACTGAGAACAAAACTGTAGCATTTCTAGGGCACATCCCTATAATGGGAAGGTTTGAGGCATACCCAGGGTGAAACAAGGGGTTGCAATCTTCCTTGAAATCAAAAGCCCCTTTAGAGTAACAGCACAACTACCCAAATCAATCTAAAGTTAAAAAAAAAGGTGATCTAAAGTTCAGATAAAATATCAAGCCATACAGCTAAAATTGATTTTCTTTAAAGTCACGAAAGGGATGATTATTTCCTTTACTAAAATATTATTAATTCTGTGAAAATCCTAAATGTCAAAAAAGAGATCCCAAACAACAATCCCCAAACAAATCTTACCGATGATAAAGAGAATTTCCACTGCAATGTCACTGACAGTTGTGCTTCGAGTTGTAGACAGCTCATCATGGCCAATAAAGGAAACATTGTAAGGTACAGTCACAGCAACATAAAACGTTGCCAGTAAAATAAGCCAGTCCCAGCCAGCTTTAAAAGTGCTAAAATGCAGCAGTATGAATTTGGATTTTTTTGCATCTGAAACTTTGTATTCTGGAAATGCTGGTTTATCTACGAAAACATTCTGAAAAAGAGAGGAAAAAGTTAAATGAGACAAAACAATTATTTGATTACACAGAAGCATTTCTTGCAATGGAGTCCTTAGGTAGTTGATGTTTTTGCAAAAAATATCATAATAACATATGCAGGCAAGAACAAAAATTACTTTTTTTCTAACCTAGACCTCACATTCATTTATACAGATGTTCATGGAATAACTTTTGTGAATGTTGAGGCAGGAAGAAGACTAATAAGTTACAGATTAAATGGACTAAGAGGGGACTGCATCTGCAAAAACTGTTTCTTCCTCTGTTCAACTAATTCTCACTGCAGAGCAATATTATTCTACAGGATAGATAGGTGAGAGGTTTGTATACACAAAGACATAGTACTGTAAATAGAAATATATGGAATGAAGTAACTGGTATTGAAAAAAGGATCCTGTACACAGAGATGTGAGAAGGTTCTTCCAGACTATCTCTAGCCTGGTCCTAGGGACTGAACAGCTCCAGTACTGGGAGCACCTCTCCTGGTTTAATTTCTTCTGCAGGAATCCAGTTCATGTGAATGAAGGCACAATTAGTAGGAATAACATTTTGGTTTTCTTTAAAATTGCACTCCTGTTCTAAATCAAAATATTAATCTACCATAATATGGCTCTAGAACTGACTACCTTTCTTATTAGACTAGCTTTGTCTTGAGTCTGTGTCTTACCACTGTTTTATGCAATCAATATTTCAGTGTCAAACTGTAGAAATTCTTGGTTTTCACCTTTCATAGCTTTAAGAAAAAACACCTACCTTCCCCAAAAAGCAGCATGTGAGACCTGAGCTGTCTTGCATTATTTACTGACAAAATTCTTGCTCACTGTTACTGTGCTCCCGGTTAATGCTGTTCCAGTAACAAAGAGCCTCCCAAAACAATATTGTGCATTCAGCAAGCTAAGATTACTTCTGATCTTGAAGTTATTCACTATGAAATTAAAAAGACAAAACCTGCATAACCGTAGACTTAACTGCACCTGCCTTGTCTGTCACAGCCTTTCTCTTTGTGCTTCCTTTGAAATACTGATGTCATTGCCTTTTCTATTCTTGGTTCTTATTCATGAATTTAGGCAGCTGAATTCTCACTGTTCTTAGAGTCAGCCCATTTTTTAATCATGGAAAAGAAAGAATTCCTCATATTATTTCCAACTCATAGCTCCAAAAGCCCATGTACTAAAGCTGGTAAATTAGTCTCAGAATAAATGTTTTAACATGGTAAAATAACATCTGCACTAGAATTTTGACAGTACAGGTAAGGCATCAAAAAACTATTTAAGAGTCATATTCCTAAAAAATATTATCCTATTACAATACAATAAGAATATCCCTGGAAGACCTGGTCATATTTTGTGGGGCTAATTTTTTATTATTATGCTTCTTCAATGTGAAAAACTTGTAACTTTTTTAAAAAAATAATATTTTTTCAATATTTAATCTTTTTTTAACATTTAAATTCAATGGAAGAGGCTATTTGCCCTATGGCATATATAGCAGTTGTGTATTTTCATGCCTTTAATCTATATCAAGACTTTTTTAACTTTTAATTTGTACTGCACAAAGCAAGAGAGTTATTTTTTCTCATAAACATTTCTTTAGAAGTTGGTTTTTTGCTATATTGTTGGTTTGTCTATGGTTTGATTTAGTGTTAGCAACATTCACAGCATGCTTTGTGAACGTACTCATTATTTATAGTCACTGGGGGAATACAGAATTAATTTGAAGACAGAAACATTACTACTTCCTTTAGGAAATTAAAAAAATATCACACCAGAAAGTTGGAGATATTCACGTGAAAACTTGCCTAAATGAAGTGTGACCTTTTGGAGCTTAACAGCATTAAGAGTTTCAGATAGAGGAAGAGCTTGAGTCTTTTCTTTTTTTTTTTTTATTTTTTTTTTGAAAATAGTAATAATTGAGATGATGAAGTAAATTGGAACCTAAAATTATGAGAACCTGTGGAATCTAAGTTCTGAGAAATTTTGTAATGTGGCTGTCATGGCATTCAATGTCTGTTTACAGTATGATTAAAAGCACTATCTTGCTATATGGTAGCAAATTCTACAATAGGAAGAAATATGCTTCAGTGAGAAATATTTTAATCCTTGTTGCTATAAAATTGTGATCAGGATATATCTCAAGTACTCTTTGACCCTTTACAGCACTTGAATTTTTTTTAAGTTAGTGCAAAGGCTACTTCTTTTTCTTCTTCTTTTTTTTTTTTATTTTTTTTCTGGGGGGTTTAGGGGAAGAAAAGAGTTTCACCTACATTATTAATTTTTAATTTGTTCTTCTCTCGTCTTTGTAGATGTCCAGAGATGTGATAAAGGACAGCTCTACTCCGTCTGCGTGCTGACTCAAAATGTGATCCTGCCCTTCCTCTTCCTTTCCATTTTTCTGCAGAACAGAAGTGAGAGTGCATTAAAGATCAGGAAATAACATTTTAACCTTTGGGATCTGAACTACTGGTATTTCAGACATTGGTAGAAATGTAAATATTATGTACACCTTTTCTTTTGCTTAATCTTTTGCAGCAAAGCAACAAACCCCCTCTCCTGAAGGGCAAATAAAAACCACTGTGAAGTTTTAATTGTCAAATGCCTTCACACAGCTCAGAAGCAAGTAATTGCAACATTTGATTTCACAGATAAGATAAATGTACTTTCTACTGTTTCAGACCAGAGGGAAGGATGTCTAGATGTAACCACTGAAAATATCCTTGAGGTGATTCTACTCTCTCTCACTTCACAGAAAGAAAAAAAATCCCTTGCAATTTTAAAAAACAGAGAGTCTGACTTATACTAGGCTTCCATTATGTCAGAATGTGCTAATTTGTAAGCTTGCTCATTAGTAATAGCCAATTCTTACATTCATGTGTTTAGATTCCTTTTCCCACCACATGCCCACTGGAAAAATCGCGTGACATATTCCTTGGTGACATGAAACCCATTAAGAGCAAAGACTGAACGTTATTTTGGAAAGGCTTGTGGTTTTTACCTCCATTCAAATGTCTGTAATTGTCAATCATGGGAACAAATTTTGTTCATGCTTATAAAGCAGTAAATTCAAAGTAATTCCAGTCACTCTGATGGAATTACAGTGAATTGATGCCAGAGTAAATGAAAGCAGACTTTTTGTGATGTGTCAAGATTAAGGAAAAAGAAATTATGGGACGAAAGGAAGAAGCCGTCTGTCAAGGAGGTTTAATTAAAGTCAATTGAATGCATACAAATTAAGGGGAAAAAATTAGCAAAACACAAAACTAATTAGCAGAGCCAGAATTTAGAAGCAAGCAAAATAGCTACATCTTGAAACCTGCCTAAAGAAGCAAGAAAGATTTGTATTATAGGAGACTGATGTATTTTTGGCTTAACAGTGCAAAACCATACATAACAAAATGTGTAGGAGGGAAAATTTTCCAAACTTCTCAGTAAAAAAGTTTTTGTGTAATTCAAGTAAAAGCAGTCTCTAGTTGAGGATTTTTTTTTAACTTGTCAGTAAAGAGAAGGGGGAAAAAGAAAAGTAAAAAAACAAGAAGGGAAAATCTCTGTACTGTGATGCCAAACCACTACTCAAAAGTTGAAGGGGGCAGATGGAGAAGCCTCAAACTTTTCCATCAACACATATTCGTACCAGCTACAATGAAGAAATCTAGAACAAAAAAAGCATTATTTCAGAAAAGACGCAAATAAATTAATGTTGTTTTTTTTTTTTTTAAATAATCTCTCAATCATCAAACCACTTACTTACTTACACTCAAGCTAAATTCTGAGTCTTCTAAAATTCTGGGTAAGAACAAAATGCTTATCTCTTTCTCTGAGGAAAAATGAATTTAAGTCAATGGAATTGGATCTCCACTGTAGAACTGTTCAGCTATAGTAGCCTGGTTTTGTCATATGACTTTGAAATTCTCTTTAAAACCATTTACAGGCCTCTCTTTTTTCATTTTCTCAACAAAAATTGCCATGTTGTACGAGGCCACCCAGTTCACTCTACTGCATCCAAAAGAGGTCAATAGAACAGGCTTCAGATCTGCTAGGAAGCAGGCAGGGAAAACACTCTTCTTGATCTTCTGGCCAGTAATATTTTTGAGATGCTTTAGCTACAGGCTTCATCCTCATGCTGTACCCTATCTAATACCTGTCCTTGTCGTAAGCCTAGAGAGCCTGAGGCAGCCCATGCTGGCAGATGGCAGATAAAACAGCCTTGGTGATGTGGTCTGTTGTGAGACCAACACCAAGCTGTGCTCAGAAAGCAAGCCTGGTACCTTCAGGTGGAGTTTCCTGGAGTTCTTTCAACATCCCCAGCAATACGAGGCCTTTCAGCATGGAAGTGGATTTCCCTACCTCTGGTCAGCCTTGGAAGTCTTTACGTCAGCTAGATCACCCATGACATTTTAAATATATTCTTTAAACATATCCTTTCAGTAGCTATGTGCAGAACAACATGCAGCTTTCAAGCTATGGATACACAATTGCCTGGTACAATGGTGTTACACTGCCTTCAGGCTTTTTCTCTGTAACTCCTAACCTCAGATGTGCCTTTCTCTCACATGCTGAGCACTGAGCAGAAAGCTGTCCACAATTCCATCTCTTTCCAGAAAGCTATGAGACTATGGAAACAGTCAATGTACACATATTCAGTTACTATTTCCTTTTTTCCCCATATATTTACTGACACAGAGTTTCACTCTCTATCCACTCTTTAAATGAGGACAGGTCCCTTGCAAGGTTTTAAATTTTATGTGCCAGCAGTCTGGTAATTTTTGGCTTTACACAGATTCCATCTCTCCTACCTAGGTTCAGAGTTTCAGTCACTAAGGATGTCGTACTCACTAACCTGCTCAGGCTGTGGGACTTGATGTGGCACTTAAAATCATACCAATTTCACGTTTTCACAGCAAATGACTTCCATCACATGCTGATTACACTATTTGCAAAGGATTAATGCTACCTCTCTGTTAATATTGGGAGTCACTCAGCTCCTAAAGACAGAAAAGCATGCATCAATAAGGAAACATTACATTAATTATGAAGTAAGTAGTAGTTTTCTTACTAATCAAAAGTGGCAAAAGTTTTTATGGTTGTTATTGAAAGTGAAAAAAAATTAATTAATTGTAAAGATAAGATGCCATCAGAGCACATGTCAGTAGCTTATAAATAAGCGAATGACATTTGTGAATTCTCTTATTTTCTGGTCTCCCAATGCCTTCAGGAAAGGAATCAATCCGGAGCCTTGGCAAACTACACTGCTCAGGTGTGCATCTACATGTGTATGATTATTTTCTGTAACTACCTTCTTTTCTTGTCATACTCAGTTCACAGCTCACTATTCTGGAACAGACAGCTCATTTTTTATAAACTTCCATCTGTTTCTCTCTGTTTCCTTGAAAATTTAGGTACCTGAAAGATTTTATTTTTTATTTTTTTCCATGGCTGATCTTAGAAAAAAAGATCCAAGAATAAAATAAAGCATAAGCAGAAAGTCACTTTAATAAAACTCGCTTCTTTTTGCCCTGTGCTTAAAATCAAAAGGATTTCTCATTTTCCCAAAAACAGTGAGAAATCTTATTCTAGAAAAATCCCAGATTTTTGGGATCTATTTCCTGGTGCTTCTACACACCCCTTCCTGTGTAAAGGTACTCCCCCCACCAAGATAGCTCTTAAAAAGGATGCTTGCGATTTAGTCTTATCTGCCCTTTATCAGAAAAGTGGTAATACATTTTTTAACTCTTACTGCTGTCCTTCTGGTTGTTCTTCTTTCAAATGAACATATAGTGCCACAACCATCAGACATGACAATTACAGAATATTTCCCAAGAAAAGAAAATAACAGAACACCTCTTTGCTAAGCTTAACATTAGCTTCCCAACAGTTTAAGACTTCTTATAATCTTGTGAGGGAAGCTTGCAGCAAAAGAAAGCACATCCAGACAAAAATGTCTTTGTAACTCTTGTCTTGTATTTTTATAGGAACATGAGGCTTCAATCATCCATTTAAGGTTAATAGAAAGAGGAGGCATAACTCTTTTCTCGTCCCTTTGGAAAAAAACCAAAAGATCCACTTCTTAGGTTTAAATCAGAAATATAAACCTGACAGCTTCTGACAAGCTTTCATAGGTATGTGCTGCACTAGCAATGCAGAGGAACTGGAAAGTCAGCTTTACTGGCTAAATTGACCCAAAATGTATGTCTGCTCTCCTTCTAAGCAGTTCATTGAATCCTAGAATAATTTAGGTTGGAAAGACCCTTAGGATCATCAATTCGCAATCACTAATTGTGACCTCCACCACTAAACCATGTCCCCAAGTGCCACTCTGATGCATTTTTCAAATACTTTCAGGTATGGTGACTCAACCACTTCCCTTGGCTGCCTGTTCCAAGCTTGATAACAGTTTTGGTGAAGTGCTCCTAAAATCAGGAGAGTCAGAGCAAAGCATTAGATAGAGTCCAGAATTTATGATTTATAATGATCTCATTCTCCAGGTAAAGTCTGACACATTTATAGAATCATAGAATCATGGACTGCTTTGGGTTGGAAGTAACCTTAAAGATCATCTAATTCCAACCTTCCTGCCATGGGCAGGGACATCTCCTACTAGACCTGGTTGCTCAAAGCCCCATCAACCTGGCCTTGGACACTTGCAGGAATGGAACATTCACCTCTTCTCTGTTCCAGTTCTCAGCTGTTCCAGTGCCTCCTCTCTCTCTTAGTGAAGACTTAGTAAACCTGATATGGCCCAGAAGCACTATCCTCACTCCATAGCAGACAACCTGTGGCATGAGAGACCATGAAATGTGTTTTTTTTCCAAATACCAAACTGAGCTAACCTGCTCTGGTCAGAAAGTTTACACCTTATTTACAAAAAAAGTCTCAGCCTCGGTGGTTATTCCTCATTCATTTGTATCCTTTCAAAAGAACTGCTTTCATTTATCTCATTCATGCATTAATTAAAACCACTACCTACCGTTCCCTCTGGTGTGATACATACCAAACATACTCTTGTATGGAAACATCTGCCAGTCTGATCATGGGTCATTACCCATGATTTTGTACTGAAAAATTTCAATACAAGTGTGCATGGACACAAAATAGAAAATTAAGATCTAGCATTTCATTCATATGACACTGGAAAAGACACCAAGAGATTTGCCCGTGTTCACCTAAAACATAGAGAATGAGTTAAAGCAATCTGCACCTCTCAAATTTAACCCAGAACACAATATCTTGGCAAAATGTGAATGAAATAGAGAGGGGTGATGTAAAGTAGCCTGGGAGTTTAGTTATGGAAACTCATGCGCAACTGAGCTACTTTATTCAGCGATGGTATTTCTACCAACACCCTGTGTGGCAGGGTTATCCTAAAGGCTGTGAAGCTGCAGACCTGCATCTCTAAGC